TATGGGTGGCGCTATTTACATATGAATAAGCTAAAACTCATTCTCCCAAAAAAATGTCCGCACGTCGCTAGAGTGTTCGGGTTTCGCTTGAAGAAAAGTTGACAACCCTATGCATATATCCTGTAAAGCTTATATTTAGTGAATAATGAACAGCAAGAGAATCAAGGTTGGTAAAGGCGGCTGTGGTAGCAATGTTACTTCTGTATACTAGATGTAAATAATTAGTGGACCTTTTACATACTTTAAGAATTGATTAGTTCCTATGGCTCCCAAACTGAGCTAACTTTAGGAAAACCTAACTCCAACTGGTTATACCTGAATTACATATTGATAAGTAAGGGGAAAAATTATCCTAACACGTTAAGACGCACTGACAGACCCGCCATACCTTGATAACATCTTGTGACAAAACGCATCGGGGTGGGCCTGTATATCACGGCACATTAAACAGTCTGAAGAGTACTCTACTATCTGCAGCTGACCTGTCAGTGAAAAAAATCTTTTATTTATAATTTTTAACTCCATTTTGTAAACGCTATGGAGATCGGTTTTTATGACTTTCAATAAATCTTTGTTTAATACACTATGAGCCTTGCCGCTCTGTCCTCTCTCCTTTTCCGGATTTAAATCTCTATCCTGAGACTCCGAACCACGACGCCCCCTGGAAACTTTACAAGAAAACCCTACAAAGCGCATTATCAGTTCCCTCCCTGATACGCTGAAATAAGAAAGGAACGTGACACAAGAACGCAATCTTCTTCCTGGAACAACAGATAGGCTTCATCCTTCCGTCACCCGATCATCTCCTCATGGCAATGGAACGGAATATTTGACGGAACACGGCAGCCTTCCCGGGATAACTAGATCGTTTTCGTTCTTCTGACATCTGGTGAGTGCGTTCCCTACGGGGGTTTCTCCTTCAGACAAGCATTCCCCCTTGGCACTTCAGATGTGGACATATGTCCCTTATTCTACAATAAGTTTCCATGAATAAGACTTCATGGGACATTGATATATTATTTTTCCATTCATAGTCTTATGATTATATTTATTTATACAATTGTAATTATATACACTTTTTCCATGGTACATAATTTCATGTTCATATAAGTGTACGAATTATGTACAAGTTTTATATATACCGTATATACTCGAGTATAAGCCGAGATTTTCAGCCCATTTTTTTGGCTGAAAAATGCCCCCCTCGGCTTATACTCGAGTCAGCGTCAGGTGTCTTCTTACTTACCTCGCCGAGCGTCGCGTCACTGCTGCTCCGGTGGGCGGCGCTCCGAGCGGGGTCATCTGGCAGTCTCCGGACATATTTTATTATTTATTATTTTTTACCGATGTGCTTCCTGGGCACCTATAGTTTTTCATTTTGACTGTGTTCTAATTTCCCCTTCGAGGAAAGATCCACACTGTTTGCCACACAGTATCTATATATACTTATCTCACACTGTTAGTTGTTGAAGAAACACACGATTTGACACTTTATATTTAATTCATTTCTTTTAATATTTTTTTTATTCTATTATATTATATTGGCTTTTGATGATTATACCGTGAGGCTCAGAGCACTGTATCATTGATTAATTAATTAACACACTAAATTACATATATTATGGAGTATGAAAGTTACAGCTAGTGGTTATATAATGTCAGTCAGCATTGTATGGGATTAAAGGCTACTTTAATCGGATTCCTCTTATGGTAAAGGGTAGAAATGCAGCTGATTCATTTCAACCTCTGGTGTGTTGACATTTGGCACCCTGACTGGTTGTAAGTTGCAATATGAACATCCAAAGCTGGTCTATCGTTCAAAAAAAAACCTGGTTAGAAATATATTTTATTGTGCATTGTACATATACTACATTTTATAGCAAGAGTTGGTTCTGCTGCATTTACCTAAATAACCTCTGCCTGATTTTTTTTTCATTTGATTTTAATTTTCAGTGAAAAGTAGGTAAGCTGTAGTGTTGGACCACTCTTTTTTTTTAATTGAACATGAATAATGACTAGTTGGGTACTTTTGGGGAATATTTTTATAATATACATTATGTATCGCTTTACTCATTATTGTGTAACAGGGATTGAGGTAAAATTATAAATTATTGCTTTGCATCAATATGAAACCTGAATTTTTGTCTAAGCACAGTAGGTTTGTACGTGGGAGAAGCTGAGATTAAAGAATTCAAGTCTAATTAAAAAGTAAGGGAAATGTTTCAAATTGAAGAGCTATTCAAAATCAAATATAACTAGAAAGATATTTAACAATTTCCTGCAAGGGCAACTGATATTCAATGCAAAGCATGAGACCTTCAAAATGCTGTGTCTATGCCTATTCTATCCACTGCATCAATGACAACACAGTTTACCTAGTAATAGCATGTGGTCACCGTTCACTCCAATGAATATCCACCTGTTTAAAATCTAGTCCATAGCTGCTGCATTAAATAATAAAGTGGCACCCTTTCTTTCCTCATTTCTAGGAAATACTTTCCCCCTCTAGAAACTAAAAATTGCACAGTATGGTCCTGTCCTCTGACTCCCAAATGTCAAAGTGGTACAGTGCACCTTTACCATAGGGTATGCACTGCACATTAGAGGAAAGGAAATTCCAATAACACAGAACCTACCGTGCTGCCTACTTTGGACAGGAGATATGGTGGAAGCAGTGCAGGGACAAGATCCCCTCAAGATACACAACCCTAACCCTAACCCTAATAGGGCTTTCTTTAAGGGGCATTGTCTTAAAAGATTTATTTCATTTCCAATATATTTAAAAGGCAAAATAATGTAAGGCATAGAGAAAATACAAATTTTTTCCCATTTTGACTAGTGTTCATTTTTAAAGATCAAGGGTAACAATAAATATTACATTTCAGCTTTATTTTGACATGTGTCCCATTTATCGAGACCAAAAATAATGTTTCTAATACAAAAGCAGAATAAATGTATTAAAAAATAAAATAAAGGTTTTTCTTTATTTTTGTGTGCATTTTTAAAAAATGGTAATGCGACAAAAAAAACAATGAACCAAATGAAGAAAAAAAACGAAAACAAATGTTATGTGAACAGTAAAATGAAAAACAAAATAAGCAAAAAAAGCTAAAGAGAGATCAAGGAGAGGAAATAGTAAATCAGAGCTAATTATGTGTAATAGGTAGATACTTTCATTCAACTATAAAACTAAGCTTTGCTATCTGATTTCAGGGTTCCTTAAGCAACTCATCTGTAAAACAAACCCAACACATATAATCTGCATTCAGTTCCTCTGACATCGGGAAATGAAAGCTGATTTACTAAAGAAGTTGACAATCTTCACACAAGGAAGATTGCCAATCATGTGCAGATAAAATAAATGCACATGAATTTGCTTATGACATGACTGGATAATTGAAGTGAGTCTTCACTCTTTTATGAGTGAAGGTTCTCAATACTCTTTGTGAATATGATGTATTTTTTTTACAAATAACCTTAATTTATGAATGAGTGCCCTAGATCTTTATTGCTGATATACAGCTATGAGGCTGTAGGCACTGAGGCGCTAATGCACTTGGAAGTGCATTGCTAGTTTACTGGAGGAATTCAAACCAAAAGGTCCACTTAGCTAGTAGTGACATGTGTCATATGAGACATATGACATCTACAAACTAAAGACCTATGGACTTAAAGCATGTTTCTTACCCTGCTGTGTTGTATCTGATACTGGATTTGCAATAATGGTTTTTGCACCTTAATGATGTACTATATGTACTATATGTACTATAATAAATAAAATAAAAGCTCAGAGATATATTTTACAGAGCATAGATGATCGAATTGAGCACATATGCAAGTATGAAATTGCAAAAGTAAAGTGGGAAGAGCTACAGAAAGTACACGAGAGAGCAAATCTCTTGTCAATAAAGTGTACCTAATTAGAAAGCAAAACCAGGCTAAGCTAATGAAAAGCCACCGCATGCAAGACTATGTGGCCTCAATCACACTGTTGAGAGCCGGCCCGTACAGATCCGTGCGGCGTGCACGGCCCTGTCGGGCCACTACGGGGAAGGACAGGTGCTACGTGTGATTGTACGCAGCAACCTGTTTTTCTCTATGGGAGTACGCCGCCGTATGCTCACCCAAACTGCACATCCATCCGGGTGCGGGTTTCCATACTCGTATGCAGACAGGATGGATCTGGGCTGGATTCACTCATAACTATATAGTCCTATGAAAACTCTGACTCAAGGAAAGAAAATATATTTTCTCACATTCCTTGATGACTGCTCAAGGAATACTGTGTTTTACCAGCAGGGATGACATTCCAGATAAACTTTAACATTATCCTGTACAAGTGGTAAAACACAAGCTATTCTGAGGAAGCATGGAATAATGTCCAAGACTACTGTACCATGCAATTCAGAACAAAATGGTGTTACAAGGAGAATGAACCACGCTTTATGTGAAAGTAGCAGAAGCTTGTTTTTTTTATGTGGCTATGCCAAAAACATATTGGGGAGAGGCAATCACAGCCTGCTATCTCCAAAACTGCTTCTGTGAAGAAGCAAAAGAGAAAGCTCCATATGAGCTATGGAATGGAAAGAAGCCTGACCTGATACACATCAAAATCTGTGGAAGCAATGCATAGGTATATATTCCTAAACAAAAGTGCACAAAATGGAAACCATATGCTAAGGTAGATATATTTGTCAACTACAGTCAGTCTGCATCCAGACACCATTAAGGTAACAATCAGCAGAAGTGCAATTGTAATGAAACGCCTATGCGTCAAAAGCCTCATGAAGCAACACAGTCAGCATTGTGCAAACGATAACCTGACCAAGAAGCCCCAACATTACTGCAGGAAAAGGAACAGAACATCACTGAAACTGAAATCGGCATCAGTGATAAATCCACTGAAACGTACGGAGCTGAACCACAAACAACTTAAATTAGAAAATCTGTGATATCCAATAAGGGCATCGCAGCTAGATGTTTGTCTTATATTGCTCGAACAGTGCCACAGCCTGAGCCAGCATCATAGGAAGAAATGCAAATGCTATCTGCTCATGAGAAGCAAATGTGGATTAAAGCATTAGATGCTATGACAATACGGACAAGCAGTGGCAGCACTTTTTTTTTACATTACATCAACTACATGTCCAGATACAGGCAGCCCCCGGGTTACGAACAAGATAGGCACTGTAGGTTTGTTCTTACGTTGAATTTGTATGTAAGTTGGAACAGGTACATTTTTTTAAGTGTAACTCCAGGCAAAAATTGTCTTTGTTTTGTTTTGGATAGCATAGGGAAGTGTTTACCGCCTGTAAAGTTTGTTTTGCAGTGTGTGAATGTGGCTGTTTCAAACCACTTTGCTCGAAGTTCAACACCTCTTTTTTTTTGGAGGGTAATGAACATAAAATAGGAAGGTTATCCAGAGGGTATAGATCCACTTTTAAACAAAAAAAAAAGAAAGTTTGGTCCTACAAAATCCAAGTGTTTATCTTTACTATAACAAACATAGGAGGTACGTGTCCTCCCGAAGTCCCACAATCTGGCACAAAAAGAATTTGCTATGTAATAGACTTTTAATAAAACCCCAGGATGCAGGGAATTTTGATGCAGGTCCACCATATAGCTAAAGGTCAGACTAATATGTAATGAGATCACAACCTTAGCTCTGAATTCAAATACAAGCAATATACACAGATGACGAAGGCCACCTCTTTATTTAAGCAGTTCAGATGTGCGCATCACACAGAAAGAGAGCCATAAGCCAGACCTGGAAACAAGATAATGTTCCTGCTATTACAGGGACCTGCTACTGTATTCGGAAATAATGAGTGTGTCACAGAACAGTGGGGTTATCTGCAATACAAGAGCTGCAAATAGCAGCAGGATTCAGTAAACAAAATCCATTCATAAAATAATGGCTTTCTCTACAAAGCCAATTCTATATTCCATTATACTGCTGGAAGACTTTTTTTCCCTCCTATAACCACGTTTGACACAATGCCACAAAGCATCGGGGAATATTCACTAGAAACGTGCTTATGAAGAATAAACTGGTAGGTGGAAAATAAAGCAAATCAGTAGCTACTTATCATTGCAGGACTGGATTTGTGGCTTTTGTTGTGGCTATTTTATTGGCACCCCTATATATTATCTACCATGAGCATTTACCCGTTATTGCAAGACCTAGTACAGGCAAAATGTGTTTTCTTTTTCATTTATATACCACTGACAAATTATTCAGTTCTCTGCAGAGTCATTTACATCAATAAAATCCCATAAAGGAGCTTCTAATGAAAGTATCTATCACAGTCATAGATACGGGGCATTATGTGCAGATGGCTGCTGCAAAGAATAAAAGTCTTACCTTGTAGCATGCACACAATGCCCAATTTCTGGGAACTGACAATAGGAAGAGATGCGACCCAAGCTGTACATTGCTCCAGTCGCATCAGCTGCCCCTCCTCACTATCCTTCATTCACAAAATGTCTTTGTGTATTTTTTTTTTAAGAATACACGACATTCTGTGATTGGAGGAGGAAAGATGATGCCACATCCCCGCTCCCCTCCTCTCCTCCTCCAATAGAATAGAGAAGGGTTACAATCCCCTTGGTGGGAAGGTATGTTTGTCATCTGTCTCCTTATGGAGATTTTCCTTTACTTCCTATCCTGTGAACTCAACAGGAAGTAAGAGGATATGTATGTATGTATGTGTATATATATATATATATATATATATTGTGGCAGTGCATGGCAATGCCACTGCGTTATCTCCATTCCTGTGTCCAGAATCTGAGTGGCCAGCCCATGCTGATGGCACAGGTGTGCACAGCCTTTAAATTAAAGTTGTTGGGAAGGGTTCAAGACTCCACCTGGGAGACAGGAAGGCTCCACCCAGGAGTCAGAGTGGAGATATATATACATATATATATATATATACATATACAATGTGAGGAAAATCCCCTCTCAGACAGTTGTAACAAAATTAAGTGTGCCCATTGGAAGATTTCCCCTTTATTCCTGTACTGATGGCAACTGAAAATGTCAGATTTACCCTCACTTTCCTTACCCGTGACAATGGTGATCAGGACAATTAGAGAAAGTGAATCTCCCTAACAAGGACACAGGCATCAGTCAAAATCTAACAGGGGTTCAAGCCCTTCATTCTATGCAAAACTAAAAAAAGGTCTTGCCTATAATTATACTTTAAACATTTTATCGAGATAGAATGCCAGAGCCTCGGACCTCAGTGCTGTAAGGCAAGTGTTCGAACCACTTAATCAGTGTGAAATGTGCACTAACCACTTAAAAAAGGCTACTATAAACCAGCATTTATATGTTGCCTTTATAGTCCTATCCCTTGCCCCGCATACAGTTTAAAAAAATTCCATTATAAATACCTTTTTATAATGTTTTTTTATGTGGTCAGATAACCGCAAAGCTCTGTCTCATCTTTGCAATATGTACAGCCGACAATGGGGCTGAATTATTTATTCTAGTAATGTCACCCACTGGTGTCCACTGATGTAAGTTCTGGTTGACGAGACTTGTTGAAAGTGCCTGTTGCACGCCATACAGCATTGCGACCAATGTAGATAAGATAGGTGCTCGTAGTGACTGCCACGCATGGCACCGTGCAGAACCTCAGAGATGTAAAGATAGGTCACCAGCACTACGACTATGTCGCCTTGTGGAATGGACCCTGGGCAGCCCCGAAAAATTTACTATTTGTCCCTATGTGACATTATTTGCAATAAAGAATATTTTCCTTGCAACTTGGAGTGTTGGTGACCTATCTACATCTCAGGTTGAAGGGAAGAGAGTTCCCACCCACCAGCCACATCAGCTGCTCAGAGAGGAGGGAAAACTGGAGCTTTGCAGTCATGTGACCACATAGAAAAATATATAAAAAAAGTAATCGATTATGTAATTTATTACACACTGTATGAAGCATACAGAACAGCACTTTAGAGGACACATATAAAATCTGGTCTATAGTAATCTGTCCTTCTACTTTAATGTCCTGTACTGCTGTTTGTGGTGCAGCTAAATGTCTGCATAGTGATTGGGGCCAGATTTCTGTTATATCCTTCCAAGCATATTGCCCCATGTGATCACAGGACATTGTGGCAGTACAGTTGGGTACACAACAAATAAAGCAAGTGCAAATATTTTAAAAGTGGTAAAATATGTACTTCATTGTAACTTTCTCCCTAAAGACATACATAGGACTTGTGAAAAGAAAATTAAGGAAGAAGCGTTCTCTTGTCCCCTAAGCTTCTGCTGCACTAAAGTTACCTGCATGAACATTTGGTCCTCTTTCTACTACATTTGAAATCCCCAAAAAATGGGGAGAACAATTATTCATGTGTGGACTCCACTACTGAGGTTTGGCTGACACACTCTCACTTGCACACAGTTTACATCTAGTATTGATATGGCACCATCTTATTTCTAGAATATACCGTGTTTCCCCGAAAATAAGACACTGTCTTATATTTTTCTGGGCTCAAAAAAACACACTAGGTCTTATTTTCGGGGTAGGTCTTAATTATTTTTTTATGTACAACAATCCACACTTATTTATATACAACAGTCTACGTGTATTCATGTACACAAATATGGTGATCAGTGGTGCCGTACCTTTCCAAGAGCAATTTGCTAACCAATCGCTGGCCAGAATGAGCGAAGCGCACTTTCACTATCGATTCCTCACAGGCAGAGTGCATTTGGTATCACTCCGCCTGTGGAAGGAGTTGGCATTGGCTTATGCGGCTCTGCTCCCTCCAGTGCCGCCTTGCTTCATCTATATCTGGCTTCGTTGGCACCGCTGAATTCTCTCCCGCAGCTCTTCAAGTTCCATCTTATGCCACCACCAGCCCTGGGAATGGTCACAGCTAGGTCTTATTTTCGGGGTAGGTCTTATATTTTAGCAATTCCCAAAAATAGTACTAGGTCTTATTTTCAGGGTAGGTCTTATTTTCGGGGAAACAGGGTAAATAGAGGAATGGAGTTTAACATGTCCACTGCACTGATTTTTTAATTTAGGAATGCAATTGATATGTGGTTATATTTTGCTTTTATATCCACACGTTACACTGTCAGGTTGGTGCATCAACCCACTTTTGAAACAATTGCTCTGTTTGGCTATTTTAAAACTATCCTAATTATTATTATTATAATACAGGAATTATATAGCGCCAACAGTTTGCGCAGCGCTTTGCAATATAAGGAAGACATTACAATTACAATACAATTCAAGATAAGATGGTAAAGAGGGCACACAATCTAAAAGGGAGGGGCCAGTGATACATGGGGAGACTATGGATTTGATTAACTAAAAGCAAATAGGTGGATTGGTGCTGTACGGGCTATTCTCAATAGCCCGTACAGCTCCCAAACGTGGCCGAGCGGCTCAGTCGAGCCGAACGCATATGCCTCGGCTCGGCTGAGCCGCACTGAAAGCCGAAGCTGGCCGGCCGACAGCCTGCTTCTGACAGCTGTGTGATTGGGCGGCCAGGAGCGGAAGGCTCCCAGAGCGCCCGGGATTTTTTTTTTTTCATTTTTTTTTAATGGCAGCAGAACCACCGGACATTGCTAGCTCCGCACAATTGTTTTCTATTTACTTTTTTAAAAACGTTTTAAACTATTTTTCTGTTCTGCTCGGTCCCTCTGAGGGACCGAGCAGAACAGCCGAGCCGAATGCCGCTCAGCGTTATTCGGCTATTCACTCACTGCTTTTCGGCATCTACAAGAATAGGCCGGACAGCAGTGAGTAGCCTGCCGGAGGTTCGGCTGAGTCGAACTCCTTCTGCACTTCGGGTCAGCCGAACATGCTGAGCATGTTTGGCCGACCCGAAGCCATGCCAAGCAAGCCGATGAAATCAGCCGTACTAGCCTGAAGTGAATAGCCGAACAGTGTTCGGCTCACTCCACTTGGGGTCGGTTGTTCACTCGGCTGCCCTCGGCAGCTTAGTGAATAGACCCGTATGGGTTTGATTAACTAAAAGCAAATAG